TGAAGGATGAAAATGTGCGTGGTTTTAGCAAAAGACAGAAAAAAAATATTATCCCATAAACATGCAAGATGGAAGAGACCAAAGAGGCACCAGATGGAAAGTTTAAGTTCTCATAAGAAAATGAAGGATATGATGGACAGCATATGTAATGGAGAGCAGGTCAGGAGATGCTGTTATTGCATTAAGTAGAAGGTTTGAAGGAGAACTGTAGGTAAAATAAGAACCTCCATATACTGTCAAAGGAAAAGAGAGGAAGAAAGTAGAGGGGGGCTATTACTTGTGACGTTTCCCCCATTAAAAACTGATGCAGTACAATGTAGAAAGAGGGTGTGCAGCAATGTACAGCTGCAGTGAATTGTTGGGGTGGCTTTAGGCAGTCAAGTGAATTGGTATGGAGCTACAAAGGTAGAAGAGCTGAAGAAGTAGACCAATGAATTTGCAAATATCAATAAAAATAAGTAGATATGGGACTTAAACCGATAAATTTTAACATTCATGTTATCACTGGAAAGTCTCATATTTATCTTCTCTCAAAATGAAGATTTCAAGCTGTGTAACTGAGTGCTAAGCACAACTTTCTCAGGCTAAAAAGGTGCCTGACTGTGGCAACAATTGCTCAGAAGGCAGCTTCCCTCTTCTTGCTTGACAAGCAAAATTCCATCAAATGAAAGGCAACTTAGTCACTCTCTGATTTTCCTAAAATAACAAGTTTGTCCACAAAAGTCTGTGAATATTATCTGTGATTTATTCAGTATTTATTATCGCGTATGTGAAGTGGAACCATATGTAGTGATAATGCTCAGTGCAAACAAACAGTACTAAGCATAACACTTCAGGAAAGGTGAGGTACTACATGCTATCATGCAAACAAGTGCAAAGTTTTAAGGTTTATATTAGGGTTGCATTTGTGAAGATTTTGCTAAATAATCCACAGTATGGATTGTACTTATGAGAACAGAATTTATCACATTGTATTTTATTACTATTACTGTACAAAGTAGAGAAATCTTTATTTTGCCTTCAGTTTTCCCATCTTATAAGAATACTGTGAAGAGAAAAAAAAGAGAGGGATGTTGTTAGGACTTATAACAGCTTGTCCAGCTGTGGGGCATTCATTTGTCTTGTCTGCAAATGCTATTCCAAATTATCTCAAGGATTTGTCTCTGCTACTTTCCTCCTCAGACTGGCTCTGACTTCACCGTCTGTTGCCCACAGAAATGCCCTCTGACTGCATCTGGAAATGCTGTGCAGTAAATGTGATAACATTTTAATCTGCACTGCCATGCCAGTGAATTTCCTGCCTCTTTATCAGCAAGTTAATGAGTATGGTGCAAACATTCCTGCATCTGTCCGAAAGTGGGAAAGTATTGTGCCATCTTCCTCTTATATTTGGAAAAGGCAGTCCTGAAGTGCAAACCACCTGCGAATCCTGGCAGTACAGTCTGGCCTGGGACTTTTTGGCAAAAATCCAGGCCAGACAATCCAGACCTTTTTGGCCAATTACCCTGTTGTGGATCACAGAGCACAGAGTCCAACTCAGTACATGCTTGTGGCATGTTGGCTCATTTCTGCCAGGAGACCAAGTGCTGCAGCAGCTTGTTCTGCTTCTACAGATGCACCAGTACCTTCAAATCACAGAAACCACAGATGGGGAAAATCTCAAATAGAGACATTTCCATGCCTTAGGAAGAAGGAGGCAAAGTTTCTAAGGAACTGTTTGTGCGTTTTCTGTATCATTCAAGTGTCCCCATCACCAAAGAGAAATAAATGTTCCTGGATCCATCAGTGATCATAGCACAGGTTGCTAGATGAGCCCTACAGGCTTAGATTACACAGGAGCACCTTGGAGAACTCTCACCTTATGTCAGGGGAGCTGGCTGTGCTGCCGACCTTCTCCTCTCAGATTAAGAGAGCAGAACCTGGCCTCTGCCCTCTACCTCACACTCGGGTTGGACATCACCAAGGCTAAAGTCACTTGCTGTTGCCATACACTGCCCCGGCTGCTAAAGGACCAGTCTGAAGACATTGGTTCTGCATCATCTTCTGATTCTACAGCAGATGGAGAAGTGCTGGAGCTCTTTCGGAAGTCCAGAGGCTGCATTTCCTATTTATTTGCATTTGCATATTTTTAAAACAGCCACTTGAAAGATACCCAGATGCATTTGGACAGAACACCTACAAATCATATTGGTCATCCATAGAACAATCACTCTCTGAGTAGCAGGACCAAAGGAGATGGTTGCTTAGACATTTGCACCCCCTAAATCCTCTGCCAATCTACCTAAACCACTCCAGTGTCCTGCATTCTTCTCATCCATCTCATTTGTTTGCCCCTTACATGTCGGGCTAGGCAAATCACGTGTGTCTTGCAAACCCTGAGCTGAAGGCACATCTCAGCTGCCTCCTGTCTCCTGAGTAAAGTTAGGGTGAGGTTTCTTCTTCAAAAGTCTTATAGAAATATAATTTTTTAAACCTCATACTTTCTGCCAAATGCAGCTGAATGTGGCAAATAGGTTTAGCAATTGTTAGCAAAGAAGGAGAGAAAAAGCAAAGAAAGGGAGAAAAGCACAAGCAGAGGCAGGTACAGACAGACAGACGCGGCAACTGTAAAAATGTCACGTCTGCCAGAAACCTGATAGAAAATTCCTTGATCTGGGCCAAGGGAGGTTTGTCTTCTTCACTGTGTAGCTTGGCTCCTGGGATGCAAATGAGCAAGAGAGGGAAAAATCTTCAAAATGCATGAGACAAGGCTGCCCTGTAAGTGTGGCAGGAGGGAGAGACGCCTCAGGGCTGTCAGCAGTGCGGCTGCTTTGTGGCCCAGCTGGGCTGGGGACAGAGGTTTGTGTCCTGTGTGCTCCTGCTGGGCTCCTACTTGGAAGAATATGAGGAACAACAGAGTAGAGTAGGTCTGTATGAGTCCTTCTCTTGCCAGGCTACGTTTCTGCATGACCATGGGAGCTGAACAGGGGTTCAGATTTCTAGTTCTGATTTCTAGAGGGTCTGATTTCTAGTTCTAGCTCCTCCTCTCCCCTTCATACCTTCTTCTTTGACATGCTAGGTCATTTAAACTGGAATTTCTGCAGTACCTAAAACAGAGACACCCTCTTCTTATCCAGAACCTCTAGATGACACTGTAATACAGATGAAAAATAGAAATTAAATCCTAACACTTGTGCCCTGCATATTTATTAATAATTAATATCAGATTTGCTTTTTATTATTTTAGTGGCTTTGTGAAAATAGAAATAATTGTTGCTGATTATTATTTATTTAAGTGATGACAACATGATTAATAATACTTCAGCATGGGAAGGACTCACACTGAACAACCTAGAATGGGGAGATATTATCTCTGTTGGTGGCAAAGCTTATAATACACATGCATTGCAAAAATGATAACCCACCTGTAGAGGAAGAATGATTAAAGACAAAGATGGATATGGCGACACACAGATAAAGGAGATCAATATTTAGGATATAAAGCAATTTAAGAAGCTGGGCCATGAATTCACTCTAACATGTGCAGGCTGAAGTGAGGCTGACAGACCTGTTACCTACCTGCCCATCATGGTGGGCTCAGGATCTTCCTGTGGAGACACACAGACCTAACCACACCTGGAAATATTCTTCCCTGGTAGACCCCCACTGTCTACATACATAGCTTTACAAAAGTTAAATTCAGACAGTGATTTCTGAAGCTGAAGAGTTACTGAATTACTGAACCCTTTTAGCAAAGCTTAGGCCTGTTGCCCCCACACATTTTTTCCATTACAGCAAGCATCTTCCTGCTTTCTGGTCACAGCAGCTGATGCTAAAAGCCCAGTATTTGTGCTTGGTCCTACAGCCTGATGCTACTTTGCTTCCTGCAACACATCTCCATTTTGTTATAGGAACAGAAAATTGTAGAGCTGGTTATAATGTTTCCCATGAAAAGTTGATGGGTTTTTTTTTTCCAAGAAATTGAATTTCCTGAGGTTTTGACTATGAAATTCCATTGTGATGCTTTGAACATCCAGCCCTTTGGCTACCTCATCCTTGCACTCTTACTGCACTTATCATAGCAACTAATACCTCAGCTTCTTTTCAGGAGAGGACATAGTGGATGCAGGTTCAGCTGGAACCTGGCTCACTGAAGAGCAGAAGCATAAAGGGGTGGGACATGTATTTATTTTTTTCCCCAAACACTTTTTTTCCTCTTGTGAGAATCACAAATTTCAAATAATTGATTTCTTTGTTTACCAAAGGTAAACACTCTACCAGTCTGGTTTTATGTGTCTGCAAGAAACATTTTAAATGAGATATTTTCTACATTTTCTATCAAAATTCCAGGCTGTCATGCAGCCTGGAATCCTTGGGAGTGCCTTTGGAAAATTTCTTGTTGAAATACCTCTCCTGCAGTCATTTCTACTTTCCTTCTCTTGTCCCTTTACCAGTGATTGTCAAATGGTTGTGCCACCATCCTGGAGCTAAAGCTGATTTTAAACAAGCTGCTAGGTTGCTGTATATAGTGAGCACTTGGTTCAGTACATGCTCAGCTGTTAAAAACAAAATACCTAGGAAGATCTGAAGTGAGAAAGAAAATTTCTACACAGACACATATTCTTTCTCTGTTTCTTTTCATTTACTTATATGAGAAAAGCTATTGAGTTCAGATAGTGTTTGCTTTTTGGTTACAAATGCCTGGATTAGAGTTGCAGCTGTGGTCATGCTAAAGAATATTTCCCTGCCTTCTCTTTGTGTTTCTTCTGCACAAGGTTTCTGTATGTTTCTTCCAGAGATTTTTCACGGTAATTAGGCCTAATTATTTAATTGCCTCCCCCTCCATCGCTAAAAATTCTGCTTCTTCCTAGTGATTCTGGATATAACATATGTTGCCAGATATAAACAGGGGGGGCTATTAACACGGTAATAAATTTGCATGGTCTATAAATTCCTGTATCATTCATAATCTAAAATAAAAGATGAGAAAAACCACTTTGATTTGTTGTGTTTGGACTCACCTCCAACATGTAGATTTATATGGCAGGAAACAGTTTTGAAGCTCTTAGTTCTTTAGGCTGGGAAAAAATAAAAAAGGCTTTTTATAATTTTTTTAATAGAGTACAGTTGGACCATCAAGTTTCAGTTTCATTTTGAAATGTGCCCTGGGAGAATGCGCCATAAATGCCAACATATTCAGCATCATGAACTCAAGATGATATCAGCTTGTTATAGTGTTCTGTTGCAGTGACTCCTGCCAGTTCCCTTTTTCTAAAAAAAAAAAAAAAAGGAAAAATAGAAGGAATGGTTTAGAATTTTGTTTATCACCCCTTCCCTTAGAGGAGCAGAATACAAATGATTATCTTCCTTCCTCATCTTTGGTTCTGCCTTTATTGAAAATTCTCAGTCAGGGATCCTACTGGTGCATTTACTGTTGACCTTAGACAGCACTAACATGATTTCCTTGCTGACTAAAGAAAATACAATGCTGCAAAGGACATGTATTTTGATTGACAAGCAATAGGTACATCTGTCTGCAGTCTTCCAGATTCTTAAAGATGCTGCTGAATAAATCTTGCAGTTGCCATCTTGCAATAAACATAATTCATTCCCCCCAGAAACACATTCCATTTTAAAAGAAGTTTTTGTGTAAAATGACAGCACTAGCAAAATGAGGAAACATATATTATGGGGCAGGCTCATAGGCAATGTAAATCAACACTAATCAGCTGAAAACAATGGCCACATTTCTGTCCGGTAGAATCCGTCCCTTTTATCTTAGTTATATTAGGCAATTTGTTAGAATATGTGATAAAATGTGTCTAAATGTTACAGGTAGGTTATGAACATGATAGCTATTTGACAAAGCAGCCCCTGAGAGAAAGTGCATTTTTCACCCCATCAGAACTTAGTTCCCTTGATGAAGATAACAGATAGGTTTGCTCTGTGTAATCCTGTACATAATTATCTTCCCTACCTAATTTCTTTCTGTTGCTATGCATCATTATCTTAAATATTTTTGTAACCATTTCCATCCCATTGTTCATTCCTTTATCTCAGTTTTTTTGTCTGACATCATAAAACTGAGTATGTATCTTGTCCTGTCTACAGCCTTTAATAACTAGCCTGGTGTCAGAAACCACAACTTTAACAAATACACCCCGCCTGATGTATTATTAAGCATTGAGAAGGCACCCTGGTGCCTCCAGCTTGTGCAGAGAAGTAGAGGAGCCTGCACTGCTCTGAAGAAGCCCCTCCAAGAACCGGCTACAATATTTACTTGCTGACATTTAAAGATAATGGAGTTGTTTACTCAGTGTCTTTTTTTCTTTTTCCCTCCAAGCAAATAAGCATAAAAGATCCTGTGAAGGTTTTAGAAGGTTTTATTTCCAAAATGGCATTCTGGAACTTTTTGTCCCCCTTTTAATTATTTTTAATTTACTTTTTTTTTTTTTTCCAAATGTAGACGTTTATTACTTTTAATGATTAGTCAATTAGGAATACAGGTGGCAGCTAACCTGTTAGAATGGAAGGAATTGATTACAGAGCCTCAGGAGCAGGCCCTGGCTGAGTCATGAGGAGACATGAAAGGGTACAGTGGCAGTTAAGTCTCCTGGCACATGAAGGAGTGTAAACCATTGATCACAATACGAAATGCTGAAAACTGAAAAGGAATCCAATTTATTCTAAATAAAACTACTCTGTTCTCCAGTGACAGATTCCAGAGTCAGACACCAGAGAGGAACTGACAGCAGATGTTTTAGAGCCAAGACACAGAGAGGCTGAGTAATAGTATAGAAAAGAAATTGCTTTGAACTTCACCCCTGCTTTAAATACTTCAAATCAATAGGGTCACAGAGCTCTTTAATAGAGTGATGAGGTCTTGCCCCAGCAGATCTTCACAGTGACAAGTTGATGTGCTTCCTAGCAGCAGGGTCATAAAAATTTCAGGCTTCCCTCTGAAAGGGGGCTTTGTATTAGAGAGGTCCATTTGGAGTAACTCCCTTGTATGGTCGCTCTCAAAAGCTGAGCCCTAATAGTCTACATCTAAATGGGACTGACCTCATGAATTACCTCAAGAAACTTAATCTATAAACTGGCTTCTTCTTATGCAGACTGATGAATTCTTGTTTATTCCTAAATGGCTGTCACAAAACCTATTCATCAAACTCTTAACGGGGAAGAGAGTCTCACATAATCCTGCTTCAAGTGCGGCACCATTAAATAATCATTAGACTTCATTGCTGGTCTTGAGACCCACTCCAAATCCACAAAGCAAGCTTTTTACCATTCATCAGAACTGCATTTAGATGAGATTTTGACCTGATAAAAAAGGGTGTTTTTTGTCACTATCAGTTTCATGGCTGTGCTCTTTCTCCTTTCAGAGGCTGTGGTGGGGTTTATTTTTTTTTCCCTTTCCTTAACAAAAGTAAAAGAAAATAAAGGCAGATGGCCAACTCTCTCCAATATCCGTTTGCTTTATTTGAGCAGTTTAATGTAGTGAAACAGAGTGAAATGTTGCTACTTGCTAAATGGTAAACAACACCATTACCCAGAATTCAGCAGCAGACTGATACAAAACAGGGTGCTGGTGATTAATTAAACTGTTGTTGTAATTGTAATGCATGATACATAATAGATAGTGTGCTGTGTATTTTAAAAGCTTCAAATTAGCAAAGAATAACTTCCTTACATAGCACATCTCCATTCCATGCTGTTAATGCACAAATAATCAAAAATAAAAGGTCATTACTGCTACCTAGTAAAAATAATGTATTTTGATTTTCCTTACCCTGTAACCATGCGCTGGAAGAGTTGCATATTGCGAGGCAGCAGATCATACAGCCCTGCAGAAAAAAATGTGAGTCTTTTTCTTGTCTCTCTTGGATACAAAGGCACAATATTCATTATTAATCAATAACAATTAGAGTGATCAGCCTGAGCTGCAAAATATCAGGATCTGCTTCTGAGCTGTTTTAATTCCAGTTATTATCACCTCCCTCAAAAGAGCAAAGTTCATGTTCTGCAAATAACTACAATGAACACTCTCATTCATGTGGTAAACTCGAGCGTGGCTCCCATGGAGAGGTAGGTTGAGGTTACTTTCCCTATTCTCTGGGATTCTGAAGCAAGCACCTTAGCTCAAGAGTGATAGTGTGCCTTGTTGTGACAGGACAATACATGTCTTTAAGTTCAAATATGTCCTGAATGCCTGGCCAAACTTGGCCTAAACCCCTCTTGTGTAACAGGTTTGAGCCGAAAATAAAACAAGCTTAGCCTGCTAATTTTTTTTGCTCTGTTTACACAGTATCTGTTAACCAGGGTGGGATGCTCTGACTTTGGTGGTTTTCTCACTCACCACCAAAGACCTGGGACCTGATCCCTCAGACTGTGCATCTCTGCTGGGGTCTCTGGGCTGGACTGCTGCAGCCTTTTTTCCATGAGCTGCATTTATGGCACCTGTCCTCCCAACACAATATAAACACCGATGTAGATGATTGAGGCATGACCCACAGCAATTGCAAAACTTAATTTTCTTTTCCAACTCTGAGTGCTCCTCTGCCTATCATGTCTGGTTCATCTGTGGGGCTGCAGAGGTTACTCTGAACCATGCTGTACCTGCCACTGGGAATCATCCAAGGGCAGAAATGTTCCACATGGCTGATATACTGCTAACAGGTCAGCTGGAAAGGGTGAATAATCAATTTGAATACTTCCCCATCTCATTTTTATGTCACTGCTAAAATAATTATTTTTTAAAATTCTTAAAAATAGAGAACACTCAACCTAAATAAGGCCTCCTCTCCTGCTTTCAGTTTTCTGCATTATTTTTTAATACTCAGATACCTTGACATAAATGGCAGGTATTCAATACACTATACTTACTCTCTTATCAAGATTTTCTCCTTTCCCTGACACATATCCTCAGGTACCCTACCCATATACTTATGTGAGTACTTAGTTCCTGCTCAGTTCTCAGTTAGTTACTAAGAAGGAGATGGTTGAAGGGAGATTGTGAAGGATAGAGGAGAGAAATTAAGTACAACTGCTGCCTGTGTTTACAGATGAGGTTCACAGGATTATGTGTCTCAGAGAAATTTAATAAGATTCTGTGAGTACGTGATGTACTTTACTGTCTTGTGTGCATAAGAGATGCACACAGGTCTTGACATTCATATTTATTCATAAAGGATTCTGAAATGGCATGATTTCAAATATAGCCTAAAATCCAAGGATAGTAATAAGGATGGAGGATGATAGAGGAGCCTGATGCCTTAATTAATGCAAAGGCTAACCCTGATTTTTGAGAAATGGCAAGTTCTTCTGCCTACACCCTTGCTGCTGCGATCCTCTGCTAGGCAGAGAGGTGTGAATCCTTGGCCAGAATGCAAAGAAATAGTAGAGCCTTCTTAGTCTGGTTGTACACTGCTGTCAGAGGGTAGGATAAACATCTATCTGCTACCTTTTTTACATCCTTCCTGCTGTTCCCATGGTCCAAGGATATGTTGTTTATCCATGATGCTTAGTCTCCTTCTCCTTCAACTCCTTCTGTTTCCCTCTGTGAGGGATGTGGGAATGCTTGTAATAACATTTATGAATATTATATGCTCCATCTACTTTTTGGAGTGCTATTGGAGTACTTACAATATTGCAAAGGGTTAATTCCAGTGAGGCATCTCAGCTTCGAGGAAGGGAAATGACATTGGGATAGTAGACCTGGTGATCAATTTGCTGAACAGGCAAGGCAGGCAATGCCTTCAAGTTTTAGCTCCCTTTGCTTTGGGTCTGGAGTACTGAGGAAGATAACATGCTGAAAAACAAAGATATGGAACAGGAGAAAGAAAAGTTCTCTGAGTAGGAAAGCAGGAACAAGACCAATTTTAGTTTGAGGTGACAGCTACTGTGATCCATGTCCACCTCTACCTCTTTCCACCAGGAACCACCTGAAATGCAGCCCATCATTATTTGTGGGCCTTTAACTTTCAATTAAAATAAAAACATCCCTTCATCATCCCATACTTCTTCTCTCTGTTTTGGCTACTTGGCACCATCCTGTTTCTCTTCTTAACATATGAAGTTTTTCATGTTTCCAACACTTCCTACATTTTCATCTGGCTTCATACTGGTCCTCAAAACCAAGAACTTCCAGAAATATTACTTGATTATTTGTCCAGTTTCTTGCCTTATCTCCCTCTTTTTGCATGAGTCTTTATCTTACTTAATGTTACACTATACTTCAAGGACGAATTGCATTAGCCCTGGATTTTCTTTTTCATAACCTTAGGTTAGACACTATTTCCTCGGTGTTTTGTTTCCTCAGATATGATTTTGATTGACTGTAAATTTTCAGTTTAGCTTTTACACACTTCCCACATGGATATATGGATATATCCATGCCTATAGATTGCAAGTTGGCTGCTTGGTTTACAGTGTAAGACAAGCTGTTAGAGTCCAATTTTGCTCAATTTGTGCTAAAGAGTAAGTAGTGCACAATTACAATACTGTTTTTTCTTGATGGCTAAAGCACTATTGACAGTCTCTTTCAAAGACCTTTTATGTAGCACATCTGAAAGACATTCAAAATCTGTATTGAGACACCTTTCAAAGTGCATCATGCTTCCTATGATTTAGTGATTTAGGGAGAGGGTAATAAGACACATCATTTTACCACTGATTTGCTCAGGCACTTGTGACAGATGCAGGAAAGCAGTTTGACTCTGAGTATGCAAATGAAAATGATGCTGACCCCACAAGGCATTATCTGTGCAGGAATGCACAGGCTCTACTTTGCAGGAGGGTACGACAGTAAAAATGTTTTTCCTGGTCCATGAAAAGTGTGAAAATACCTGGCCAAACAAATATTTACCGTGCAGGGATATTATAGAAAATGAACACTGAGTTTTCATTTTAACTCTCAAAAAAGTTACTGAGAATGATTTACGCTTTTTTGACGTCTGTTAATGTACTTTCATGAATGTACATTGGTTAAGGCAATATAAGCCTCTCCAGCACAACAGCTTTGTAAGTCCTGATTGATTCCTCACTCACCCTTTCAGTGGCATCTCCAGTTTCTCTATCTTTTCTCCCTCTCTCTGTCCTATTCTTTTAATTAAGAATTGTACTGCTCTTTGATTTTTTTTCTCATTTAATAGGCTGTGCCCAGTGGCATTAACTCTTGCTTTCCCTGACTGCTTTGATTTTTTTATTCCTTCATAACTGTATTAAGCAGAGTGAAGTTTCAGGAAGATATTACTGCCTATCCAGATGTGGTGGTTTGACCAGGAAGGAGTGGGAATTCTGGGAAGCTGTGGTCAAACCAATGAAGGTTTTGGGTTTGAGACTGGCACCCGGTGTAGCCAGTGGGGTTTGGACACACCTC